AGCGGCCATCTAAGTTGCATCAATTTGTCCCAACCACCTGGAGTAAAAGAGAATGAAGAACACCAAAGACACAAGGAAAGTATTAGCCCAAGAGACAGAAAGGGCCACATAAACCAGACACTTCATCAGTCTGAGACCAGAAGAACTAAATGGTGCCCAGCTACCAGCAATGACCACCTGACAGGGAACACAATGAGAGTTCCTGATGAAGCAGGAGAAAGGTGGGGTACAGAACTCAAATTCTAGTAAAAAGACCACACTTAATGGTCTGACTGAGACTGGAGGACCCCCGGAAAGCATGGCCCCCGGATTCTCTATCAGCCCAGAAATAATACAATTTCTGAGGTCAATTCTTCAGACAGGGATTGGACTGGACTGCGGGACATAAAGTGATACTCGTGTGGAGTGTGTCTCTTAGCTCAAGTAGATACAAGAGACTAAATGGGCAGCTTCTCTCTGGAGGTGAGATGGGAAGGGAGAAGGAGTTAGGAGCTGGTTGAATGGACATGGGAAATCAGAGGTGGAAAGGAGGAGTGTGCTGTCACAGTATGGGGAGAGCAATTAGGGTCACATAATGATATATGCATAAATTTTTGTATGGGAGACTAACTTGAAATGTAAACTTCATTTAAACTATAACAATTAAAAAACAAAACAAAACAAAACAAACAAATAATAACACACTGACAAATGTGCTTCTTAGTTCAATCAAATACATGAGACCAAATGGGGAACTCCCGTTCAAAAGCAAGATGAGAAGACAGGAATGGACAGGAACTGGACAAATGGACACAGGAAACCCAGGGTAGAAAGAAGGAGAATGCTGTCACATTGTTGGATTTGCAACCAATGTTGCAAACAATATGTGTATAAATTTTTGAATAAGAAACTAACTTGAGCTGTAAACTTTCACCTAAAGCATAATAAAATAAAAAAAGAGTTTAAAAAAAAATCAATAACCTGAATAAGAAATGAGATGGACAATATTACAACAGACCCAACCGAAATTAAAGGAATCATAACAGAATACTATGAAAAACTGTACTCCAACAAATTTGAAAACCTAGAGGAAATGGACAAATTTCTAGAAACTCACTACCTAGCTAAACTAACACAAATAGAGGTAGAACAACTATATAAACCTATAACAAAAGAAGAGATTGAAAAGGTAATTTAAAAACTCCCAAGAAAAAAAAAGCCCTGGCCCTGACGGCTTCACTGGAGAATTCTACCAAACTGTCAGAGAAGAGTTAACACCACTACTACTAAAGGTATTTCAGAGCATAGAAAAGGATGGAATACTCTCAAACTCAATCAATGAAGCCAGCATAACCGTGATACCAAAACCAGGTGAAGACACCACAAAAAAAGAAAATTACAGACCAATATCCCTCATGAACATAGATGTGAAAATCCTCAACAAAATTCTAGCCAATAGAATTCAACAACATATCAAAAAAATAATTCACCATGACCAAGTGGGATTCATACCAGGTATGCAGGGATGGTTCAACATTAGAAAACAATCAATGTAATCCATCACATAAATAAAGCAAAAGACAAGAACCACATGATCTTATCAATCGATGCAGAAAAGGCATTTGACAAAGTCCAACACCCATTCATGATAAAAACTCTCAGCAACTGGAACATTTATACACTGTTGGTGGGAATGTAAAATGGTACAATCACTTTGGAAATCGATTTGGCACTGCCTTAAAAAGCTAGAAATAGAAGTACCATACAGGCCAGCAATCCCACTCCTTGGAATATACCCTAAAGAAATAAGAGCCTTTACACAAATAAATATATGCACATCCATGTTCACTGCAGCACTGTTCACAATAGCAAAAAGATGGAAACAACCTAGGCGACTATTGACGGATGAATGGATAAACAAATTATGGTATATTCACACAATGGAATACTATGCAACAATAAAGAACAACGATGAATCTGCAAAACATCTCATAACGTGGATAAATCTGGAAGGCATTATGCTGAGTGAAATTAGTCAGTCACACAAGGACAAATACTGCATAAGACCACTATTACAAGAACTCAAGAAAAGGTTTAAACACAGAAGAAAATATTCTTTGATGGTTATGAGGGTGGGGAGGGAGGGAAAGGGGAATTCACTAACTAGATAGTAGACAAGAATTATCTTAGGTGAAGGGAAGGACAACACACAATACAGGGGAATTCAGCTCAACTGGACTAAACCAAAAGCTAAGAAGTTTTCTGAATACAACCAAACACTTTGAGGGACAGAGTAGCAGGGGCAGGGGTCTGGGGACCATGGTTTCAGGGAACATCTAGGTCAATTGGCATAACAAAGCTTATTAAGAAAATGTTCTGCATTCCACTTTGGTGAGTGGCATCTGGGATCTTAAAAGCTTGTGAGCAGCCATCTAAGGTGCATCAATTGATCCTAACCCACCTGAAGCAAAGGAAAATAAAGAACACCAAAGATGCAAGGAAAATATTAGCCCAAGAGACAAAAAGGGCCACATAAACCAGAGACTCCATCAGCCTGAGACCAGAAGAACTAGATGGTATCCAGCTACCATCAATGATCGCACTGACAGGGAACACAACAGAGTCCCTGATGGAGCAGGAGAAAAGTGGGGTGCAGAACTCAAATTCTAGTAAAAAGACCAGACTTAATGGTCTGACTGAGACTAGAAGATCCCCAGAAGACATGGCCCCCAGACTCTCTGTTCACCCAGAACTAAAACCATTCCTGAAGCCAACTCTTCACAGAAAGATTAGACTGGACTATAAGACATAAAATGATACTCGTGAAGAGTGTGCTTCTTAGTTCAAGTAGATACACGAGACTAAATGGGCAGCTCTTGTCCGGAGGCAAGATGAGAAGGCAGAAAGGGATAGAAACTGGCTGAATGGACATGGGAAATCTGGAGTGGAAAGGAGGCGTGTACTGTCATATTGTAGGGAGAGCAACTAGGGTCACATAACAATGTGTGTATAAATTTTTGTATGAGAAATTAACTTGAGCTCTAAACTTTCACCTAAAGCACAATTAAAAAAAAAAAAAAAAACTCTTACTCCAAGAACATGGAGGTAATTTCTTTTATTATTTTCCATAAATTTTATGATTTCACCTATCGTATTTAGATCTAAAATCCATTTGAGATTTGGATATTCCATTGACCCAACACCATTATTAAAAAGACTGTCTTTCCTTCTACTCTGAAGTGTCACCTTTGTAGTAAATCAAGTGTCTGTACATGAAAAGGTTCAATTGTGGATTCTATTCTAATTACACATTTGTCAATTCTTATATCAAAATTATACTCTGCAACTACTATATTTTGATAAGTACTGAATAAGTTGCTCTTCTTCAGTTGCTCTTGGCTATTTTTGGTCTATTGCATTTCTATATAGATATTAGAATCAGCCTGTCAATATCCTCAAAATATTCTGCTAGAATTTTGAGTATACTTACATTGAGTCAATAGATCAATTTGAGGAAAATTGATATCTTTACAATAGTTAGTCTTCTTATCCTTTATTCATTTCATCTTTTTTCATTTCTCTCAAGAATATTTTACAGTTTTCTGGTCTAGGTGTTGGAGATATTTTATTAGACTTATTTCTAGTTATTTGAACAATTTTTTATTTTATTGTAAGTGGGCCTGGATTTTAATTTTCAATTTCTTTTTGTTGCTTGAATATAGAAAACCTGTTGATTTTAGTATATTGAAATTATATCCAGCAACCTTCATCAGCTTACTTAATATTTCTAATGATTTATTTGTAGTATATTCTTTTGGATTTTCTATGTTCACAAGCATATCAGCTTCAAATGAGAGTTTAATTTCTTCCTTTTTGATCCTTATATTTTTATTTCTTTTTCTTAATTTCAGTCTTTTAAATTTTATTGAGATATTCCTCATGTCTAAGAGTAGTCTGTTTTGGTAGATTTTCCATGTGCATTTGTAAAGTGTATATTCTCCAATTATTAGGTGGAATGTTCTATATGTATCAATTAGGCCAAGTTGCTTAATAGTATTGATAAAATCTTCTATACTTCTACTGATTTTTTAATCTGTTGTTCCATCAGTTACTGAGAGAGGTGTGTTAAAATATTCAACCATGATTGAAGACTTGTCAATTTCTTCTTTTAGGTCTACCGGTTTTATAAAGTTTGAATTTGTATGGAAAATCTCCAGAATTTTAAAAGTTGTCAATGTTTTCAAATTTGTGTTTTAAAAACTGGGAGAAGCAGACATTCAGAAACCCAGCTGCAGACTCTGCCTGGCCTTGGGACTGCCAGCCCCAGCCTCTGCCAATTCAGTCCCCTCTGATCTTCCCCGTCTGCCTAGAGGGTATAGTTTCCTGGGTGAAATGGCAGAGGTCCTGGTAGTTTTCTGGAGCCAGGGCACCCACACTTACCCAGACCCTCCCCTTGATGAGCAACTGAAAAGGAGCCAAGACCCTCTGTCCTGTCACTCCACCCAGTCCTGGACCAAGGCTGCCCTAGTCTCTCCTCTCTGTGCCCTGCAGGGGTGATGCTCACCTTGCATGCCCGATGGCCCGAAGTCCTGCCGGGTGAGGAAGATGGCATGATCGTGGTATTCATCGTGGTCCGTGTCCGGCTTCTGCTGGAGGTAGGCCCAACGGCAGACATTCTCCAGGCTCTGAGAGGGGTTTCCAATCTCGATGAGGCTCATGGACTGCAGAGGGGTGGGGAGAGGTAGAAGAGAGGGGCCCACTGGAGGTTGAGCAGGCCACAGTGTTGACAGACTCCATCCACTGGGGCCTGCTCCAGGCTGCACTACCTCCTGCCGAGTCACTCTCAGAACCCGCCTCCCACTTGGTTCCATTCTTGTGGAAGAATAGAAGAAAAAGTTCCTCGGTCACATACATCTACTTGAGTTTTCATTCAATATCAGGTGAGAGGTGGAAACAGAGCTCTGAGGTCATCTAAGGAATCAAATGGTCCATTTACCTCACCCTGTTTTCAAAGTTTCATTCAGGGCTCTATAGCTGCATCCTATTAGGCACTACTCTGTGCAGGTCCTGGGACAAGAGGTAAATGCAATGTGGACCCCATCCCCCAAAGCTCACAGGTCTGGGAGGGCCCAGGACAAGGGAGACAGAAATCCCAATATGGCATGCGAGCTCAGAAAAGGGAGGAACAACCTATGTGTTTCCCTTGTTTGAAGATATTTACAGAAAATAACACAATGGATGAAAAACTGCAGCAAATACGGCAAAGGAGCCATATAAAGAAGAGGGGATCATGGGAACCCCAGGGAAAGACACTGACTAGAAGATGAAAGATGGTAGCTAGTCTCCAGGGGACAGCTGGGTTGTCTCGGACCAGTGGGAGAAGAGCTTTGGCCAAGTCTTTAAGGAGGAATCAAAAGTCCCACCAGGGAAATAGTTTGGCAGTTCCTCAAAACGTTAAACATAGAACTACCATAAACCCATTGCCATCGAGTAAATTCCAACTCATAGTGACCCTATGGACAGAGTAGAACTGCCCCATAGGATTTCCAAGGAGCAGCTGGTGGATTCGAACTGCCAACCTTTTGGTTAGCAGCTGTACCTCTTAACCACTGCACCACCAGGACTCTCCAGCAATTCCACTCCTTGGTATATACCCAAAAGAATTCAAAGCAGGAACACAAACTTATACACCAATGTTCATTCATTCACAATCGTCAAAAGGTGGAAACAGTCTAAATGTCCATCATCAGATGAATGGATAAACAAAATGTGGTACATACATACAATGGAATACTACTCAGTCATAAAGAGAAATGAAGTCCTGATACATGCTACAACATAGGTGAACCTTGAAGACATCACGCTGAGTGGAAAAAGTCAGTCACAAAAGACAAATACTATATGACCCCACTTACATGAAATATCTAGTGTAAACAAATGTATAGAGACCAAAGTTTATTAGCGGTAACCAGGGCTGGGAGGGAGGGCAAAAGGGAGAGCCACTGCATAGGGGACACTGAGTTTCTGCTAATGGTAGTAGAATAATTTGGAAACAGATAGTGGTGATGGTTGCACAATATGTTGAACATAATCAAAGCCACTGAATTGTACATGTAAAAACTGTTGAATTAGCAAATGTTTTGTTATATATATATATTTTTCCACAATAAAACCAACAAAACAGTCCCTCCAAAAAGACATACCCCAGTATCAGGACCAGAGGGCAAGAGTAACGCCATCCAACAGGGGACAGAGCCAAAGGCAGGAGTCCTGTTGAAACAGGGTGAGAATTCCCACCATGCTCAGGGGGTAGGCTTATGGGAAGTGCTGGGAGGGTGTTGCATACCCAAATGCCAACAAAGACAAGGCAGGTGATGTAAATGAGTCAGACTGGTTGTAACAAGACTTAAGAATCTTTTATTTTCCCAGTTTTGAAGGGGCAAGTGTACAGAGAAATATTTCCCTATTTTGATTTAAAAAAAGATGGAAGCAATAAGGAACGGTGAGGACTGTAGTAACTGGGGACTCCATGCACAGGTAAAGAGGACAACTTCTTCCCAGCACCAGCCTACTGCAAGATAGAGGCTGGGGGATGCCAGGTTGGATTTTTCAGGCCAAGCTCAAAATCTAAATTTTAAAAGTAAGTCTACCTAATAGTAAATGCTGGTTCAAATTTAAAAAAAAAAAGAAATTATGAGGCCAAATTCATTCCCCAGGTCACCAGATCAAAGGCCAGCCCTCAGGTGGACAGCCCATCCCCCACTTCTTTCCAGATTGGATCCAACAATGGACAATCACCTCACTCATCGCAGACGCTGGGCTTCTATTGGTTTCTCCCAGGTTCCCAGCCACTGTCTTGGCAGCCAAAGCGATCTCATAGCCGCGGCAGGATAATTTATTGAAATATGATTTGTGTTTTTTTCTTGCTTTGTTTTTTCTTCACAGATTCCAAGAGGGCAGGCTCCCATTTGAGTTCTCCAGCCCAAAGCGGGTTTGGGTTGCAGGGTACAGATCAGAAGTTGTCTAGGATCCCTTCCCAGCTTTTGGGTTCTGAGGAGATTCCACTGGGTCCCCTTGAAGGGAGGGGTGATAGAAGGGCTTGGAGGGGCACAGGGGGAAGCAGAAGGGCTTCACTAGAGTGAGCGAAGCCCTGGGAAGGCAAGACCTCAGAACACGGTTACCATGTGCTGGACCCTGAGAGCCAGGGTCCCAGACATGAGATACCCCACAAAGTCAAGGAGGAGGATTCTGTCAGTGTCTGTGGGCACATCCAAGGACTCAACCCATCATGAGTTACAAGATGTGGGAGTTACTTGCACTTCCTATTTCTCTATTAATCTCCAAACATCTTCAAGGTTCTGGTCTATCTCACATGGGCAGAAAGGAACCAAGTGTCCTCATTTCTGCTGAGTCTGGAGCATTCAAGAAAGTTTGGGGTGTCCCCAGTCTCCAGGTCTCATGTGTCTGTCGACCACACATAGAACCAATGACAGGTCCAGGGCCTCATGTGCATTTTAGAAAGAACTCTCTAGGTCAGTGGGGTGCAATGGATTCCCTTGTGTTCTTTTGGCCCTGGGTTTGTGGAAAAAACAACCTGGGAGGGGATTTCCTGAGTTGATTGACACTTCCTAGGTAAGCTATAAACAACTTGATTGTTTGTTACTTTTGACCAGCCTGGCCCAGTAATTGACAAAGCTTGAGTTGAAGTTGATTGACATTTCCTGGATAATCAAGGATTGGCTGGGCTGAGATCTGGCTAAGAGGATTGGTTAGACTCTGATCTGGCTAGGGAGGGCCGAACTTGAAATTGACAAGAAATAGCCTATACAAATGGCTGGATCAGAGGCTTTTTAGAGCCTCCTGGTTGACAAGAGTGTGAGGAGGAGCATGTCCTTTGGGACACTGGGCCCTGAGCTGAGAACCTCCCAGATCCAGTAAAGAGTTGTACATGGATAAGGAACTGCAACATGCTTAGAGGTGAGTCAGCACCAGAAGCAGCAGAGACCACCAGCAGGCCCAGAGGTGGCAGAAACCCTGGCTGAGCTGAGAGCTATAATACTTGGCAGCAAGAGGCCCAGAGGCAGCAGCAAGTGGCGCTAGCCCACAGGTGGCAGCAGAAATCCCAGCCAGGAGCTGTTAACACTTGGTGGCAAGAGGCCCAGAGGCAGTGGGCTGAACCGGTCCACAGGATCAGTCCAGGCCCCGAGGGAGGGGGGTAGCCTGCACAGCAGCGGGTGCCCGCTGGGAAGAAGTGATTGACAGCTCAGCCAGGAGCAGAGCTATCCCAAGGCTGCTGGTTGAGAGCTGGACCAGTCAATGATGGGATGAGAGCCTGCCAGGAAGAGTGGCAGAGAGAGAAAGAGTGAGCACAATAGCAGCAGCCATGACACACCCACTGATACCTAAAAGGGTGATGTGAACTTGGCACTTGAACCATGGCACACCTGCTCACACCTGAGCTGTGGCGTCCTCTCCTAGTGATGTAAGAGTGAACAACAGTTTTTGGGAAGGGTAAGCGGGTCCCTTTCGTGATGTAAGCACGTCCTCTTTGAGACGTAAGTGAGTCCCTTTTGAGATACATGAGTCTGTGCTGGGAACCCTCCTGAAATTTGCCTTTTGCATTTCTTCATTTATCATTCTCTGTTTATATCCTTTTCTGTTACATTAAACTTATTATCGCAGATATGGTGTTTCTGTGAGTTTTGTGGACATTGCAGCTGATTACTGAACTCAGTAGAGAGAGAGAGTGCAATGGAGGAAGAGGCTGGTGTCAGAAGTAAATGGGGAAGTTGGAAAGTGGAGGTATATTTGACCTCTACCTGATAGGAGCCAGCTTGGTGCTGATTCTGATTCTTATAGTCAAAGTTAGTCCTGAACTTATAGTACAGGTTATCTTTGTAGTCAGTGAGGAGGGAGGGTGGTTAGGAAGGGGACAATGTGGTGGCTGAGATTAATGGGGGTATGGCTGGTGCAGTGTGAGGACCACGAGTGTTGCGGAGGAGATGAGAAGAGGTGTCAGGGCTGAGAGTGTCAGGGATGTAGGTGATCAGTGGCAATGGGGACTATGGAGGAGGGTGGGTGTGGGAGGACCCCAAGCTCATAGGGCAAGTGTGGGTCCTGCAATGCTTGGGACACAGTCATGGGGACTGACTTTTCCTGACCAGCTCACTTGGTAAGAGCTCAGCATCTTTGCTCTTGGGGTGCCACCCTTGTGAGAAATCAGTCCAGGTGTTCTGCCCTGCCCTAGCCAGAAGAAGCCTGAGAACTAAGTCAGGCCAATGGAGCAGAGGTTCCAAAAGACTGGATACCAGCCGAAGCAGATTCACCTGGAGGCAGCCCCCTGAAGAGACCCCCCACTAGTTCCTGCCTCCTGCCACCCACGCCCCTTCCCCCCACCTACTTCTCCCACTTCATGAGAACTACCCCACAGCCTTCCATGAATTCCACATACATCTAAGGACTCCTCCTAGCCATGGATGTCCAGGTAGAGACATCCCAGGAGTGGCTGGAGGCAGGGCTGGGGTCAAGGAGGGAGGCTGGGCTGGGGTCTAAGGCCCGGATATGGACAGGGAAAGGGCTGAGCAGGCATCCAGTGCTCAAAGTAGTCCCAATTTCCACGGGTCCAGCTGCAGGAAACCCACTTGTGGAGTCCAGGCCCAGATGTCTTCCCAGGGCCTTCCTTGGGCCTCCCTACTGCTGTCCAGAGGGAGGGACACTGTCC